TTGGTTTTTTTTTGGTGCTTGTTTTTTTTTTTTTACTGGGAAAAAAAAAAAAAAAAAAAAAAAGGAGAGAGAAATTAAAACCACAGCAGTATTTTCCCATGCGGCTATAGCGAGTACCCTGGGATCTCACATGATGGGCTGTCCTGGTGGGATGGAGTGTGGGAAGGTGTCAAAATATGTCTCTCAATTTCTTTTTTTTTTCTTAAAAGGGAAAGCCAGATGGGTGCCAAAAGCCCTGTTCTCTTCTCTAGCCCTGCAGTAACAAACTACATGAGTGTATGTTATTAAGATGATAAGATTAAATTTCTAGCTACTAACATGCTATCACAACAGCAAAGGGGGAAAAAAGATCTTGAAAAAATTATGAAAATTAGTCTGACGGTCTCCTTTTAATAATAAGATCACTCCCAACCCCAACAGACAGTGTAGGCTGGAATTCCACAGGGCTTTTTTGTGGTCCTAATGATTTTAATAATACTTTGTGCTATGTAGCACCTTTCATTAGAGGATCACAAAGTGCTTTACAGTCACTAATTAATTAAGCCTCACAACACTCCTGTGAGATAGGTAAGTATTAGACATATATTAAGCTGAGACACTGAGAGTTAATGATTTTTTGCTGCATTATTCTGGCAAAATGATTGATGTTTAAGCGCCGTATGTGCATTATATGTCTGTGTGTGGGTGTGTAGTATATATGAGTGTAAAAGTATTAATTTTACTATCCCTTAACAAAGAGGTTCCACTTGAGCCTGTTGAATATATATGTGTATTTTCATTTAACATTTTGTTGCTGCAGCATATTGACTGATAGTATCACAGTCTTCATAGACCCTTGACACAGTTTGCTCTTAGTCTTCTTGTGCATCTACTTGTACAAAGATTAGTCAGTGACATCTCACAAGATTCAAACACCTTTCTAAATGTACTGTGCTGTTTAAGAGAGGTGTCACTAAGATCTCAACTGAACCTGCAGTGTAAGCACAAGGCAACAACTGTACTGATGCAATAGACTTTGATGACAAATCATCATGTTCAATAAAAGTAATGAGCAACAACAATAACCCATTGCAGGAGCTGATGATCAGCAGGTAATTAGACATTATCTTCACCACACATAAGAAACTATAAATTATCAGAATTTGCTTTTTCTTTTTCTTTTTTGTAAAAGAAATATGGGACTCCCTATGGTAATTCATTATCCTGAATTACAGACTGATTTTAGGAGAAGTTTCCACTTCTTGCTTCCAGGGATAAACTGATGTCAATGACTGTTGAACAGAAAAGCATGTATCTTGCAGATGCTTGAATTGTGGACAGTAGCCTAGGATGGTTTTGGGGAAAACTATATATAGCTATCAGTATTATTTCCACTTTAAAATAGGTGAGAGTGATCATATCATGTAAAAAAAGAAAAACAAAGCCACATGCTTTAAAGGTAATTTCAGTATAATAAAAATAAGATACTGAACCCCGGATTACAGAGCCCAAAGACAAATTCTGCAACCTGGGCCTTATCCAGAGTTCCCTCAGTTCGAGAGGTCTTTTCATTCACATCTCACTCAGTAGTTTCTTTTGTTTGGGGAGGATCAGCATTTCCAGTGATAAAAAGGTAGTTGAGTCCCAAAGGCTGTTTGTGACTTGCCTTCCTTACTAACACCCAATAAAGCTGCTTATTATTAAGATGACATTTTTGAAATGTGGTAAGTTGCCCACTAACAACGAAAGTAACACCACTAAATTTGTTTCTAGTGGGACACGAGGCAGCCAGCAGATGATAACTTCCAGTTACCAGTGCTGGGGCCTGGATGGGGATGAGCTATTTTTATTCCATTATCTATCCCATTAGGCCAGTTCTGTTAGGATGCACAATACCTCTTAATACAGGTGAAATTTTAAGGCACTTCGCCACAGCATTTGTCCAACTCATTTACAGCACTTCCTTAAACTTGTTTTGAACTTGTTTTTTTGGTGAACATCACCTCCGAAATGATTTTTGTCTCTCTTTGTGTGCGTGTGCGTGTGTGTGGAAGATCATATCTGTCTGTTTGAGAAGACAGCTATGGCTATGGCATTTCTCATGCTTGATGGAAGTAGGGAACAGCAGCCATTATTTGTATAGTGCCCACTAATAGTTAGATGTATGTGAATGTACAGTAGACATAATAATGCCTCTACGTAAAAAACGTATTTTGAATGCATAATTTAGGAAGGAAAACCTTTTTTTTGTTTTGTTTTGCAGATATACAGATCAGCTCTCAAAATGTCTTCTGTGTCTTCCGTGCATCTTCTAAGACAATTGCATTAGCCCGCCTGCTAGTTGACTAATAGAATTAATAATTGTAAAAAGCACTCTAAAGCCACATGCCTTATGAAGTCAATGCTGGGTATGATTTTACAAGTATGTGATCCATTTTTTCAAGTGAAATTGTTAACTGAAAACGTTCTTGGCACACAATAAAACATTGTGCAATCTGTTATTTGTCTTAGAGATAATAATTTCAGAGTGGCTATATTCTTTCTGTATCTAACTTATGACTTGCTAGGGGATGGTTTCTTCGATTTAGGAGTATTGCAAATGCAGTTTTATTTACATAATATGTATCTGAAAAATGATAGCAAAGGAATTTCAGCGACAACCCCCCCCCCCATGTCTTTTCTTGCCATCCCCATGAGTGGATATCAAGCAAATAAATGACAGATGGTTTTTCAAAAGCTAAAAGAAAAAAGAGGGGAAAATACTTTAAAATTCAACCAAAGAAAGTTTTTATATTTAAATCAATGTTATCTTTTTTCCTTTCTTTCTCCAAGTGTAGAATACTGCATGTAAAAGCTCCAGTAGGCAGATAAGGATTTTTTTTCCCCTCCACTAACACACAGGCTCGTCAGGAAAATTTGAACCAAAGTATCTAGGTCTGCAGTACTGTCTAGTTAGCCTGTATACAGTCCAGATTTTTTTTTTCTTTTCTTTTCTTTTCTTTTCTTTTCTTTTCTTTTCTTTTCTTTTCTTTTCTTTTCTTTTCTTTTCTTTTCTTTTCTTTTCTTTTCTTTTCTTTTCTTTTCTTTTCTTTTCTTTTTTCTTTTCTTTTCTTTTTTTCTTTTCTTTTCTTTTCTTTTCTTTTCTTTTCTTTTCTTTTCTTTTCTTTTCTTTTCTTTTCTTTTCTTTTCTTTTCTTTTCTTTTCTTTTCTTTTCTGGGATTTTTTTTTCTATCCTTTTCTCTCTCTTTTGTCAGTTGCCATGAAGATACCAAATCTCCAAACTTCCCTTATCTTCCAAAAATATCTGTAACAAAAACATTTTAAAACATTGCATTGAGTTTTGTTTAATTTTGACTGAGGTAATAGTCACGATGTTTACTTTCTCAATGTCTGACTTTTCTTCAGTGCGTAGTCAGGACTCCTTTCTCTGTCCTCTGCCATGAATTGCATCTAAACAGAAGTTATTTTAAAAGTGGTTTGGGATGTGCAACCAGGAGAAAAATACAGACTTAGCTGAACACCTACCAGAGATGCTCACAGATATTTTTAGTGTGTGTTAACCAAGAGCGTTCATGAGGCCCCACAGAGAAGCAGTAATGCTAAAAGGCTGAGGACTATCTTTATACCTTGAATTATATACGTGTGCATGTTGTTTTAGTAGGCTGAGTCTGTATTGTAATAGTTCTTTTACCACAACAGGAAATCCTTATTTTCTCTCAGTTCTAAAAAAGTAAAATTCAGTGCATACATATTCTGGTAGGTGTGGTTGACATTAAAGAGAAGACACTTGGTTCCCAAGCATGTGTGTCTTCTACAGTGAGGAATCACAGTAGGTATCTAAGAAACTTATTAAGACCACACGGAGTGTCAAAATTTCTGTAATGCGAGCTGGCATTCTGTGTGGAAGCTATCTTGCTGTAGCCCATGCTGCCTGTGGATCAGCTCAACCACAAAGACAACAGAGCCAGCCCAAGACACAAGTTGAACACTTCCTCTAAGAAGTTTTCTGTTTTTATCAACATAGCATACAGTGTGCCCTTTCATGTGGAGCAGATGTAAATAAGAGGACATACAGATGCCTGTTCTTTTATTTTTAACCTCTGTCCCCAGCTGTACTTGTCAAAATACTGTTTTGAGAAGGTCGTCCATGGCTTTTAAAGGTCTGGTTCCAGAACCATTTGGAGTGCATCAGTGCTGCTCCCAGCATTGCCAGGTGGTCCTCCCTGTGCAGTGCAATATGTATCTCCAGTGCCTCTGTAGGCGCCTGGCCCTGGCTGGCCTGAGGAGCAGGCGTTCAGGCTTGAGCCTGCAGTTCACATACCATGTGTGGTACTGCAGGCTGCTGCCAA